TTTTCAAACATTATTTATTTCAATGGTTTTGACTAATCTACCAGAGTCAAGGAAATCAGAACTAGTGAAAAACCTATGTGAAAGATGTCAGACTAGCATCTTTGTGGAATCATAGAATAGGTAAGGTTGGGAGGGACCACAGTGGCTCACCTGGTCCAACCTCCCTGCTCAAGCAGGGTCATCCCAGAGCACATGGCACAGGATTGTGTCCAGACAGTTCTTGAATATGTCCAGTGAGAGAGACACCACAGCCTCTCTGGGCGCAGTCACCTGCACAGTAAAGAATTTCTTCCTCATATTCAAGTGGAGCTTCTGTGCATCAGTTTCTGCCTGTTGCCTCTTGTCCTATTGCTTGGCACCACCGAGAAGAGCCCGGCTCCATCCTCTTGACACCCTCCCTTCAAATACTTTGTACATGGAGTACAAGACAAGAGGTCCCCTCTCAGTTGTCTCTTCTCAAGGCTGAACAGGCCCAGCTCCCTCAGCCTTTCCTTGTAAGAGAGATGCTCCAGTTCCCTCATCATCTTTGTTGCCCTCCACTGGACCTGCTCCAGGATCTCCATGTCAAATATGCATATACAAGTCCTTCCTCAGCTTTATTTCCCTCTCACGCATACAGCTCCCCGCACCCCGACCCCCCACCCCCGTCCCCCATGCATAGCCCATTTTTCTTACCTATTGTATTTTCTCTTGTCTTCTTGACTTCAAATGGTGGGTGTGTTGACTCTGTTACTGTCAGTACATGTAAGAGGGAAACATCTTTCCTATAGCTGCAGACTTCTAGTTCGTCCAAAGTCTTCGACAGGACATGGAAACAGTTTTTTCTTTCACATGCTGGTCAGAAACCTCTTCTGCAGCTCAATGAAGTTTGCTCTGAGTTACCAGGTAGGGAACTTGTGACAAGCAAAGTAATCCACAGATGTGGGTGCTAGGAATATCTGTCCTGATTAAAAGTAGGGGATGCAATGCAGGAACAAAGTAAGGAGCTATTGTGTGAGTACCCTAAGTACAATAGCATTCCAGTCTGGTATTGTGTAAGTGTTTGATCTGCTGCTCATGTTTTAAGGTGTGGCTTGTGCAGGTTCTATTTGATTGGGACATAAACAGGTTTACAGCCAGACATACCTATTCATGTGTAGTCATTAACCCAAGCTTTTGGGGAAGTTCTACACTGTGGATGTTTTAAAGGCAGTTCTAGAAGTCTTAATGTAGAAAGGATACAAATCTTAGCAGGCAGTGGTATTGATATTCTGTATTTATTTACCCGTTTAGATGTCCATTCTCTAGAATGCTGTGAAGCCTCCAGTGTAAGCAAGTGGTCTTTCAGCAAAACATCCTTCCAGACTTTCATGGGTACTTTTGAAAGCAGTTTGTGCATTAAGGGTCATCCACAAAGCTGAGAAATAAGCTCTAATGCCAGTGTGGCTTCCTTCAAAAACTCTTATGCTGGGAGGAAAAGGATATTCTTCTGGATGAAGAAAGAGGGATGTCCCTTTGCAGAGAAGTAGAGCTGGCTGGAGAGGCTGAAGTTCTGAAGTAAAGAATTGCATCAAGCAATGCACCATTCTTGGAACTGACATGAAAATCCTTGCTTTGCTCCAAATGTCTATCTTTATAAATCTGTGAATTACTGCTTTGATAGTGTAGGTCAAATCTCAATCCTGAATTCTGTTTTGGTGAAAGACACTCGTGTAAATATTTAATGTGTTGTCTTTTATATTTCATCCTAGAGGTCACTTACATTTTAAGTTATTTCTATCCCTAACTGAACTTAGAAAAGGGGTTTAGAAAGTTCTCAGCCGGAAGTTCTCAGCCTGGTTGTGTGCAAGCTTAAAGACTTCTAATGTGATGTTTTATCAACACAAATGATTCAGTCCTTCAAACACTATAAACCAAGAATTTTGCAATCAGATTAAGTCAATAATTGAGAGACTAAAGGAACTGTACTCACTTTAGAATAGAGAAACTACATGAAACTGAGGCAGGAGCAGCACTTCCAGATCACTACTGCTTAAACATCAGCACTATGGTGACACATGAGTGGGGAGAATCATATAAAGTTCAGAAAGATGAACAAAGCCAGACTAAAGATAAAGCCAACAGAAAACTAATTAAAGCCACAGATGAGAAGTAAAACAAGAACTTCCTTGTCTGTTCTGTAAAGCTGACCATACCCAGATGATTACTCAGATGACCCAGCGTAACCATTTCTAAGAAAAAGTATCCTTTGTCCATTATTGGGGGGCTTAAGACTGAAATAGCATGAAGTTGCACACATATTAAGCTAGAATTAACCATGAAGAATAGTATAAAGAAACTTGGTTGAACAAAGAGCATTATGCATTATGGTTATCTGGTTCAAATTTTGTTTCAGTAAGATAATCCTGTTCAGTTTTCAAATGAAACAACACAGAGGTTCATCTAGTCAGAGAAAATCAGATTTTAACAGAAACTATTGTGAGGCAATTTTTTTTTTTTTTTGTACATAAATACCGTGTTTAAAGGTGTTTGGCTTAACTCAAAAGACCATCAGACCAGAAATTAAATTTTCTTCTAAAGTGAAGCCAAATATTCTGTAGGAGAGGAAAAAACTCAAACTCAGATTTTCAGAGATTTTAATGGATTATCTGCAGTACCTCTTCTCTCACGTGCAGAATGCCCATAATTTGCAACACCGGTGTGAGATACTCATCTAGGCAGGTGAAAGTCCTTACACCACCCTCAGAGGGGGGTGTAAGTAGCTGTTTCAAGTCAAAAGGCTTACAGAAGATAAGATTTCTGAAAAGTGAATAAACTATATAGAGTTTAACCTTTAAAGGACTGCTTTGCAGCAGGAAATGAAAATGAGAGATTCACTTCCCTCTTGACCTCCCCCTAGAAGGCAGCAAGGGCACTTCTCCAGAGAGGCCAAATACTGGCCATACCTTTTCTTGGTCCATGTCTGGGCGGAGAGAGGAGTCTCTTGTTGCTTGGGCTTGGGCTAAAGACTTGGACTACAAGGTCAGGCCTAGAGTCTGAAAAACAGGAGTGGGAATCGGGGCAGGTGATTTCCCCACCCGTGAGTGAGTTCTGCAAGGACATGAGGAAGGCTGCCATCAGTAGCCATCCAAGTCAGGTATATGAACTTTCTAATACAGACAGCTATCTAGTTAAAAGACATTTAAATACTTACTAGGAACTCTGAGCTTAAAGATATTTCTTATAGCTCTCTGCTCTTGGTTGATGCTTCAGACCAAGACAGCTATTAGCATGTTGCCTCCCTCAGGTAGAGGTATCCGTATGTGCATGTCAAGATGTGTGTAATTTCATAGTCTTCCTCCCAGGCACCACTACAGATATCTGTAGAAGAAATTATGAATAAAATGAGACCTAATGTTGACAAAAACCCCAGGGTTGTTGTGTAGAAATGTTTCTGCTTCAGGATGAGGAGGAGTGTGGCGTTGGCTGGTGACTCTTGAAATGATGACTTTTGGCACTTCAAGGGAACAGGGCATACTCATGGCAGTCTTTTACATCCTTGTATCTCCACACAGAGCTGTTACTGAGCAATGTCTTGCTGCGGTATATGAGAGCACTTGTCTTCTACATCTATTAATAATGAAAACTCTTTAAATCTGCCGTTATGACTTAATGTGCTCAAAATGGTCTGCCAGCAAACCCACTTCTAACTGCCTCAAAACTGTAAAGGATAGGTGTCCTCTTCCCAAAATGTGTCTGAGCTCTGTGCTGTGGTGCGCTGGAATCAGTCTGCAGATCTCTATGGCCTCCAGCTTACACTTTAATAAAGGCTTAGAGAACGCTCCAGTTTCACTTCAGTCGTGGAAAGGAACTGAATGGGAGGTCAGAGTAAGTCAGCATGGTAAACTGTCCTGGCAAAAGGCTTTCAAAATTTCTTCTGAGAAATATCTTTGATTCAAAGCAAACCCAGCTGTGCTTCTCAAATGTTTGTGCATGCCAAGGAACAGGACTTCTGCCCTTGTTTCAGTGAGATAGACTTTATGGCCGTCTCTAAATCCTTTTCATTCACATTTTATTTATGTAATTGAATGGTTCCTTCATGTGTTTTCTGTACTTGTAATTTCACAAATTGGTTTCCTATTGCCTGAGACTATTTTCTATACAAATACTGTATCCATTTCTATTATCAAGATTAGCTGACATGCCAGATTGAAATAATAATCACAGCTGGCCGGCGCTGAGTATCTGAAGAAAAGTCTTAGAATTCATTTCTAAACTAAAAGGTAAGAAAAAGGGCTAATTCGGCAATACTTCTGGTTATCTAAAGGTTCCCATGATGTTAAAATGCCACTTTCTTCCAGTCTTTAGTGCTCCTTTTGAAGATTGCTACAAGCAGACACAGGTCTCTAAAGAGTTCTTCTGCTAAGTATTCAGCACAAATTGACTGAATCTTAAGACTTAATAGCTGCTTTAGGGGAGAGAAGCTGCACTGGGAATAGAACTGCTTTTGGGAAACAAAATTCAGAATTTTGAAGAAGGGTCTGAAATCTGCATATTAACGGCAAGGGTATCCATTTGGTTCCCAACTCATTTCTTGACATAGGGAAAACACTGCAGGGAGGGCTCTGGAGTAGTATGGGTAATAATCCTCTTGCCCTCCCAATCTTATTTACTGATCATTTCCTTCCTTTCCAACAGATGAAGTAAGACCATCTTTATACATCAGTGAGAAGCCTGTAGCTGGATAAAAGTGAGCTAAGTTTACAACTGTGGAATAACCACAATGCCACTAGAGCATTTTCCTTCTCACACTAAAGGAGTCAGTCACAGCAGGATATTTGCTGTAAGATTCTCTCCTTCATCTGTTTATTGGATAGTTGTAGTTCCATAACTTTGAAAGAATTTCCTGTAGCCTGAACTGAGAAGCAAGTCATCAGTCCTGTATCTCCTGATGAATCCCATGAGTGTGGGGTGCTGCCCAGTAGCTGATTCTTACAATTGTTCGGCTTGTGGGAAAATTACTGCCTCGTTTTTTACTTCTGTTTGCTTTTGCTTTTGTGCACTGGCGGGATTTAGGCTGTTGCAATGACTCATCTGAACATTGTACAAGGAGGTGGTCACCTGTAAAAAAATATTAATGTTTCTGAATTATTATCAGGCCCAGGTACTACCTAGCTAAACCATGAAATAGCAGTGTATGCTTCTGGCCAAACTACAGCTCTTTTGAAATATAACTCAGCAGGCATATGTGGCAAGTACTTGATATGGATCAAGTCTATGGTAAATCCCGGGTCTAGTTTTGAGCAGATTTTGTTAGAGGGATGATTAATGGAAAAAGCTCTTCATGTGTGTTACTTTTATAAACGCCTTTGACTGAAATGTTAATGTAATGTTAATATTGTTTAGGAGCCTTAAGTAGTGATTCATCTGAATACAGCTGAATAATGCACCTTTTGCAGGAGTTTCCAGTTGAGGCACTCGATGATGGTATGTCTGGAATCTCTCCACTCCCTCTGCACATCAAATGCCAGAGCTCTCAAGGTTTGAAGGACAAATAATTTTGCTCTGCACCTTTTTTTGTAACGTGGCAGATACAGTGTATCCATTGTGCTTGTTAAGGGATCCAGGCTAACAATAGTGCATTTATTAACCGGGTTTCTATGCTTCTGGGTTTTTTTTCCAGAAATGTTTAAATGAAGGGTAAACTTTTTGTCTGCCATGTTATCTGTGAGTGATTTTTTTTTTCTATTTCTAAGTTAAAAGCCAATTTGGACTTCTTTTTCCAGCAAAATCTTGCCGCCTTGGTGACACTTTCATCCCAGGGATAACTGTCATCTTCCCTGATCTGAGTTCCCTGTACAATTAGTCTAAACTCCCTGCTAGGTAGCCTCATATTGTAGTGAAAGTCTGATATAGTGGGAACTGGGGGTAGACACAGCACTAACATACCCAGACATCCCTTCTTTACTGCAGAAAAAAGGATGGAGCTGGGAGAAGAAAACAGAAGAGCAGTCTAAGATTCCTTTATCATATTCCCAAATCACCCTTAACGATATGTGAAACAGTCGCTATAGATGTCATCTAGGATTCCTTTAAATGCAAACCATTAGTCTGCACAGTGCCTCAAGAAGCCTGTAGTGGTTATATACCTACCACTTATATAGCTTTCCAGGAGAATCATGGAAGCTGAAATGGTGCTATCACTGCATGCTCTTGTGGGACTATGTCCTTAAAGCTGAGCTGGTCAGCACTGGTGACCGGCACCACAACTCTGCGCTCCAGGGAAGGCAGCACTTTTTGTTATGTGCAGGTTTGAGGAGGAAGAAGGAATAAAAATACTTGTACTGAAACCCTCTCAGCTTTGAAACTCAGCTTTATTGTGAACTTAACAGACAAGCTGAAGAAGGTGGCATGACCCATCTGTCCTCACAAAATGGATTTCTGATTGTGCAGCTTCAGTGTCAAACAATAAAAGCCAGATGGATTAAGTGTATTTCCCACTTGAAAGGGGCAGGCCGTTGATTCCTGTGTGAAGACAGTCTTTCCTTGCACTGCTCCTTTGGAAGAACCAAGGGTAGTCAAGTGTATGTTAGTTTCTGCGTCAAGGTGCAAGGTAGTTTCAGGACTCTGAAGTGTAGCAAACAAAAACCTGCATCACACAGCTTATGTTTTAACTTCACATGTGTGGAAAGGGTCACTAACTCAGCTTGTGCTTGGATCCTGCACTGTCAGCTATAAATCCTTGCACTTAGGTCTATATCACCTTCAAAGAGCTTTTAACTGTGCCTTGGAATGTTTATGGCAGCAGGAGACCTTCAGGCCAAGGGGCTGACACCCATTCACCAGCAGGACACCGAGTCAGAGGAGGTCTGAGTGCAGAATGAGGCTAACTGAGCTGGAAGGTCTCAAATGAGCCATGAGTGAGAATGACTGGAGGATTAGTCATTGTAGAATTCCTAGGTGAATATGGCCGTGTTAATGGAGCGCAGACAGACTCTTCCTCCGCCCAGCATCTCCACTGAGCACAGGGCAATGGGCAAAGCTTCATAAAGCAATGTTTTTTGCCATCCTGGCAGTCGTATCTTCTGGGTGCAAGCTCTCTGTTCACCTAATGTGACTGCCAAGTGCTCAGGCTGTGCCCTAAATTCAACTGGTGAGCCACATAGATGGTTCTAGGCTGTTTCCTCTTCAGCTCTGGGATGTAAGAGCACCCAGCTACAACTTTGTGCCCACTCTAGCAAAATGAGGGGATGTGCTCAGACCTAAGCAACCTGTTAGGTAAATCCCATCTTCTGGAAATAGCTGGGTAAAGAGGTGACATCCTTAATGCGATAGCCAGTCTAATGTAATAGCAAACTCATCAAATAACTGCTATGTTTTCCCATGAAGAAAGCACTAGGGTGTCAAACTTTACAGAAATTTAAAAGCAACTGTGTTGTTTCTAATGACTCTTCAAACTAATATGGAAAATCCTTATTTTACAAACCTAGAAATCTTTTTACTGTCTCACTCTCGGTCAATGGCTCAGACACACCACCAGGGGGTAGAGTTTATCTGTCTATCAGGTACCAACCTTCATCCCTAGAACTATTAAAGATTTAATACTGATTCTAAGAGAGAAATCCAACTGTTTTGATTATGAAACAGTGTTCTGCAACCTTAATTTTTCAGTAGGTTACAAATTAGGTTAAAATATTTTTGTGATTTAATACAGACTGCAAACCTTCCTTGAAACTATGTTTTTCTTTAGAAAATAAATAAATGACCTTCCTGCCTGCCTGCCTGCCTGCCTGCCTGCTTTCCTTCCTGCCTTCCTTCCTTTCTGCCTCCCTCCCTCCCTCCCTCCCTTCCTTCTTTCATAAGAACACTGCTGGCAGTTTGTAACTTTTGGATTCTAGTGCTATCTGAAATACAGGTTAATACTACTGAGATGCTTAAAACAATTTAAAAAATTAATTTCTCAATAAGCTAAGCTGAAAATGTATTGTTTTTTCTTTCCAGCCTGAAGCCTAAAAGTATATAGGTAGTTGAATGTCTCCTACCAGGATTTATGAGCATGAGCTAGTACTGGTGGCTTTTCAGAAGCTCTGTATAATGTAAACTTTTGCAAAAGGAATGCAATAACACTGTGATATAGCCACTCCTATTTATTCCAAATATTTTGTCTTATAAATTAAGGGCTCTTTGGCATGCAGATATCCTACTGACAACAGAAAAATCGGAATTTTCAAAGAACATCAGTTATTTCAATTGAAGTAAGATGTTCTTATAGCTCATTTTTCCTCCAGGAAATAATCAAACAGACAAACGTGACTGTGAATATTGGTAACTCAGATGGGGAGAAGAGAGGTGTTAGGGTGTGTGGTATTTTAATTTAGGTTCAAGCACGTGTTTCTAGAGGGATCAACATAGTCCTCACCTGCTGTGCTTTCGTTTACGTAGTACAGTGGGTTTGAAGCCTGTGACTGTTTGGGCTGAAATTAAACTTGAAGGCTCTAGGAGTGCCTCTAATGCACTTGAGCCACAAGCATAGGGCCAGGTGCAGGGGCCAGAGTAAAGTTACTCTGAAGTAACAACTGCTGTTGTGGCTGTCTGGTCCTCAGCACCAAATGCTTTGCAGAGATTGTGTTAATTGCAGATGTTGACACGGGCACGTGTTGAAATAGTCTGCAAAATGTCTTTAAAGAGATTTAAATTGTTGAGCCAAAATTGCACAATTATACAGGCTCTGCATGCATACTAAAAACCTGGAGAAATCCTACCTGTAGTTTTCTGCTCTCTCTGAAAGTTTTTGTGAATTTGTGAAGCCTGTGAATTTGTCAGCAATAGCCTCATACTGTTACAGCATGGAAACTGGCTTTCTGCAGCTGCAAAGCTGCAAATTCCACCTCCATCTCTTCTGCACATAGTGTTTGGTTGAACTCTGTAAAATTGTCCACCCTTAGCTGATAATCTCTTCACGAGGAATTGTTATTGTCGCTGCTTTGAGCACCAAGTTTTATCACTGACTTTTGAGATTTGTAGAGACAAACCTGGCTATGGCACCTTCTCTTGTTTCTTCTAATTTCCAGAACTACAGTCTTCTTCTCCTCTCTCTCCTCCCTACCTGCAAGTGCAGAAGAGCTAGTTCTTGAGTGATTTATCAGGAAGCACAGAGGGAAATGTCTGTGACTCTAAGCACACTAAAGCAAACATGCTTCTGCTCCAGGAAGGGCCCCAAAAGCTTCGCATCCTCCAATTTGTGGAAAAAGAAGTCCTGTAGATTTTTATTCTCTTGATGAAAGTCTTGGTATAATTAATGAGCTTAAGGGTATTGACTTTTTAAAATGTGAATGCAGAAGACATATTAAGAAGCCTCATTAGCTGTGCTACTAGAATGAAACTTAAGACTTCACAATGTCCTTTGCAGGATTATTTTGGTGCCTGTTCCCCAGACCTTCTCAAAGCGTATCCCACAGTAGATGCTGAGTCTCTTTACACTGTACCTTCGTACACACACTGACAGTGTGGATGTCATCCTGCAGCTACTTGCCAGGTAGCATAGTATAATCTTCATTTCACTGGTAAGAGTGACTTGTCTGAGGTCACAGTGGAAAAAAATAATAATCTTGATCTCATCATGATTCTCAGTGGAGTTCCCTCTGTCTGACAGCTTAAATCAAAGGGATAAAAATTTAATCAGTGGGAAACTGGTGTAGCTTGTCAGCTGTTATCCCTGCATTCACTGTGCCTTTTGAGCTTACTTGATTGCCTTTTAGGGACATGGTTTTTAAATTTAATTAACGTGCTGTTACTCTTTCCTCTTTCTGACATGGGAAAGCTTGAATAAACTGTGTATTGACTAACTGAACCAGTTACAGCAAGGTATTGCACTCATCCAGTGGTGTGCTCACTGGTGTATGCAAAAACTGAGGATGGACTTGGGGCCCACTGGGCCACTACACCTGGGGGAAATGCCACCTCCAGCCGTGAGCACGAGACCTGAAAGCAAAAGTGGCTCTCTTGTTCATGTTCCAAAGCAAAGTTGCCTCTGCCTCCAGCACTTGCTATATAACTCACAAACACATGTTTTCTGTATTTATGTATGTGTGCATGTCTCTACACATTGTATTCATTTATAGCTGTGTAGATACATTTATCTGTAATGGGTCTGGCTCAGATGGAGTTGGCTTTCCGCTCAGCATCTACTGTGGTGCTGTGGTTTTATGTGGTGTGTTTTTATCGCATGGGTGTTTTGGTGGTGTGCTTGCATGGCTGACCTCAAGGTTTTCTTCTTCCCACTCTGCCCCTCCCCAGCAGTCCATTCATAGAATGATTTGGGTTGGAAGGAAGCTTGAAGATTGTCTAGTTCTAAACCCCCTGCCATGGGGCTATATGTACTGTATGTGTGAATATATATGGGTCCAGTGGAGTGCCACGAAGATGATTAGGGGTCTGGAATATAAGACACTGCGGGAGCTGGGCCTGTTTAATGAGAGGGAATCTCATTAATGCATATTAAATATCTCAAAGGCAGGTGCCAAGAAGATGGTGCCAGACTCTTTTGGTGGTGGCCAGTGACAGGATGAGGAGACAACGGGCAGAACAGGCTGAAACAGGCTGTCTGGGAGAGTCTCCCTCTCTGGAGACATTCAAAACCCACCTGGATGAGTTCCCAGGTGACCATGCCTTGGCAGGGGGTTGGAGTGGGAGATCTACAGAAGTCCCTTCCAAACCTAACAATTCTGTGATTCTGTGATATTGAGATACGTATAGGTATGCACACATATGTATATTTACGTGTACCTACATACAACCACAGCTGCAGATGTGCACGTATATGGTTTTTGTGTTCACCTAGATGTTTATGTATGCATAGATGTACATTCCTGGGCACCTAGAGACGTGTGTTTGGTACACCCGCAGGCACCACTGTTTTGCGTGCGCACTGACACACAAATTCCGTGCAAACACGGGTTTCTCCAGGAGCACCTCCGTGCTGTGTATGGACGCACATCCCCGCGGCCCTCACACGACTCTCCCGGCAGGCCGGGCCGGGCCGGGCCGGGCCGGGCCTGGCCTGTCCCGTCCCCATGGCAACGCCCGGCGCTGGCGCTCGGTGCGGCCGCTGCCGCCTCCGCCGGCCGGGAAGCGGCGACCCTCGGCCCCGCGGGGAGGAACGCTGAAGTAAATGTAAGCCCGCTGAGGTTTGTGCTTGCCCAGCATGTCCGGCGAGCTGACCGAAAGCGCCATCAAGGGCATAATCCGCCAAGTCGGACTGGAGTGCGCTGCCCGGGGACAAACCCTCTCTGAAACCCTGGTGGCGTTCATGGTAAGCGCGAATGAAGCGTTCAGGGAGCGGCGGCAGATGAGGCTTTCAGGGGTGACCTGAGCTTTGGAATATCTTGGGTTTCCAATTGCCTGCGTTGAGAAATTTTAAAGGGGCGTTCATCAGCGACGTTCAGTATAGTGTCCTGAAAACCTGGAAAAGTTTTTTATTCCTCTGAAAAGCCATGTATGTGAATGTAAAGCACCAAGAAGGCTGCATGTCCTGAGTCCTGGAAATGCTCTGAGCTCCAACTCAGAGCTCTTTGTTTTCTTCTACAGGCAGATAAACCATTGTTTTCTTTCTAAAGTGAAAAAGATAAGTGTTCCCAAGTTTTAATAACGCTTCTTCCCACTCTCATAAATGAACAAAAAGGCATGACGCATAGGTGAATGTTTATTGCAGCAGCTGTATTTATTCTTTGACATTTACCTCTTCCCCCTATTGCGAAAGATTGTTTTGTTTGTTTCTCTGCTTAGACAGAGCCAGATAGCATAAATGGGCTGAATATTTAAAGTAGTGGGCTCACATCCCATTTAAACTGAAAATGTAATGGAATCAGTCTCAGTGTTGTCCTTGGTAGACAACTATAAGTATTCTGAAAAAATTATACGCTTTGGCATCTCTTCAGAGGCACAGCACTGCTGCAGAATATATTCTGAATGTGCCTGCAAAGCTATGTTTGAAGGAAGATGGTGCTAGGTTCATTTCTTTGTTGGTGATCAGCTCTTGATTAACTTGTATGTGAATGTAAATGGTTCACAGTAGTATTGTTAATCTGCCATTTCTTTCCCCCTAAAGGTAACACTGTGGCTTTAGAAAATACACTGGGCTCAAAAGCAGTACTGATCAATTAAGCAGGAAAATTTTAATGAGTAAAAAGTCTGTACAAGTGGCTGGCAAGACACTCGGTGTGAACACCAGCTGCAAACATGCAAAACACTGGATTTTTTATCCAAATGGTAAATGTTTATACTGATGCATATAACATCAAGTGAGAAGTTTATAAACAACTATGATGGATTTTCATAAAATGTTACCTAGGAAAATATTTTCCAGGTAGTTTCTAAAGAAGTTGTATTTAAATATTTCTCAAAGTTTGTCTCACAAATAGATTTTTTTTCACTTATGCCTGAGAAGTGAGGTTGAAACTGGCAACACATAAAATGAAGTGTTTGCTTCATTATCAAATATTTAAATGGGGAAAAAGAATAGTAAAGAAATGTTGAATGCAACTAAGATTTTTCAGAAAATAAAAGGTTAGTTGCAAAGAGGATATTTTGAGATGTAACTTAATATCTTTCTTTTGGCAATCTCAAGGTGAGAGCTGTTGTTTTAGATCCAAGAAATGGCTTTACTATGGAGCATATCCTTACAGAAAAAGATGTGCAAGATTTTATCCAGGTAATTCTGACATGATGTTGAGTCAGTACTTAGCCAAGACTGTGACATTATTTGCTACCTGTTCCTGTAACTAAAATGACGTGATCTTAAATTTTAGTGCTACTTTATTCTCATGGTTCTGTAGCTAAAGACTGGACTACGTGCGTCCTGATGTAAATAAACGCCTTATACTTATAAATGCCTTATATAGAAAGAATGGTAGTGAGGGGGCTCTACAGCTGTTGTGAAACCTGTAGCGCAGTTAATGTCAGTTCAGTAACTTCCCCAGAGATGAGAAAGAATTGACTTCTCTGACTCTCTTCTTCAGCTCTGTGTTACCAGACTGCTTGACACAACAAATCCATCCCTGAGCACAATTAAGATGCAAGTTTACTTCGATATGAACTATGCCAACCGAGGTAATGTGTTTTCATAGAAGTTGATGCCGAGTTTAAAATTTAATAACTCTCTCTGTAGGGCTAGTAATGATTCTTGTTAAATGACTGCTGGCAGTAAAGCAAAATAAAAATCCCAGGAGAAATGTACTGCATAGGAGTATGATGTTTCAGTATGGATGAAGTAGAGGAAAATTGTACATTAGATTTGAGAGTACACTCTTCTCATCCTGTCTGAGAGATTTCCTGAATGTAACATATTAGATTGCTTGAGAATAATTATGCTTTCAGGTGCAGTGGTTAGGTGCCTTCAGCAAGAAAAGCTTTCACTGCACCTGTGTGTCTGAAAGTACTCAGAACTCCTCTCATGTATCCAAAAGAAAACTCTATGTTTTATCAATATCCCTAATTGAGAGATATGAGTAATCTTGAACAATCAGTTGCAGTTTTAACCAAGTATGGTTTGGTCTTATCAGTGGTAATTTCATATGGTCTGAGAATGGGAATGTAGAAGAAAAATGAGATGGGGAAAATACCTCTGCTGTAAATGTAACTTCAGATCTCAATGGGGCAGTGAAGCCTGGCTGGGAAACAGAAGATACAGAGCAAGAGTAGGCATTAAAAAAAAACCCAAAACATTTCTGTGTGGGGAGATCATGAAAATCTTTTCTTGTTAGCATGGATTAAAGCCAAAAAATTAATAGCACTGGCAATCTGCTTCTAAGTTCTCTGGACTCTAGAAGCTCAATAAGTGAAGTAAGTTTCTGAGATCCTGAGCAGTGTTCAAATCTGAGCTTGTAACTTCAGGTGTGTATGAAATACATGTGTATGTGTATGTTAGGACCTGTTGCAGTCAGAGGAGTCAGAGTGTCAGAGACTTGCTACCTAATTTGACCTGGATAGTTCTCTGGACTCTACTGACTGATGTTAAACATGCTAATTATGTTAATGTTTACCGGTTTCATTTTTAACATTGTGATACTATGAACACTTCTTCCACATATCTGTGCTTCAGTAATCTTAAATTGGTGCTCTGACTGGAAATAAAATGCACCTACTGTACAAGCCAAATTGCAGAGAATATAGATAGCACTTTCTACATGTCCTTCTTTCCTAGATGAATTACTCCATGAGCAGCAGCGCATTCTGAAAGGAAAACTGGCTCCTGTGGTCAGAGATATCACAGATCGTTGTCCTCATGTGCAAGAAGAAATAGAGAAAATGTATCAAAATATTGTTAGCTATGCACTGCTGAGCTCTGGCCTGGGATCCCCTACAGATATTGAGAATGTCAGGGAGGTAACAGGTCCGTAAACTTCCAGCTCTAAAAATTGGGCTTTTCTCATTGAAAAATAAAATTTCACCTTCTTTCTAATCTTTAGATACAAATGTGGTAAACTGTCAATGCTGAGCCTTGAAGTGAAAATTTGTCAAGGATTTCCTACTTTCTGCAGTTGTTTGGGAGAGGGTATTTTTGCTTATTTAATGATTTTCTTTTCTGTTCCCTCATATTGAGGTTTTTCTTCTCCTTTGTAATGGTTATAGCTGCCTTGCAGAGTGTATTCCCCCAGGCAGAGATGACTGCTTTCATTTCACTCAATAAGAAGGATAAAGAACAAGAGCTGAAAGATCTTGCCATGCTAGTCACAGGAATTCGGTTGTACAACAAGGAGTGTATGAAAGGAGGGAGGAGCATTGATGACTGTAAGTAGACAACTGCTTTTGGGCTGTGTATTCTCAGTTTTTCCTTCCTGGCCTTCTTCACTGGAGCAGCTCCAGTAATATTCCATCTCACCAGATAAACAGCTTTGACTTAGGGCCTGTAAACCTGAAGAAAAAGTACATATTTGCTACAATTTTTGGGTTCCACGTAGACTACTACTTTTTAGCTAAGGGGGAGCCCTAACGTGGTTGATGTGGAAAGATTATATGTATTAACATCATGCAACTAATTTACCTCATGATAACTTGTTCCCAGATCCCTTGCCATTAAGTGAATTAAATATGTAATGTTTGCTTTTTAAAGCAGTTAATTACAATCCATTTGCAAATTTCTGCTGAGTGTGTGTGTGATTAGAATTGATAGAAGTTGCTGGGCCATTATCTGTATTCTGGTAATTAGATTCCTAAAATGTTGTTGAAAATCTTTTGCATTTTGAATCTTTCTGCCTCTCTAATAAGCAAAAGATGTCAATGGCCATCCTGGATTTTTTTCAAAAGCTGTATTCAGGGTAGGGCGAGACTTTGATATTCCTTTTATTTTCTTTTGTTCCCATCAGCCACATTATTTCTGCAAAGTTTACAATAGTCAAATAAATGACTGGTCAGTGGCAATGTTTATGTGAACATCCATATAGTATTGCAGCTCAGTATGGAGACTTCTTTATAAGAAAGGTCTGCAGCCCAGTTGTAGGGGAAAACTTTTTATTTTAAAAGACCAAAATTTCTGGAGTAAAGAACATACTTTGCCTGATAAGAAAATCGTGCTTTATTGAAAAGCAAAGCACTTGCTGAGCTTGTGGTATTTTAAGTAAAGCAGTGTAAGCAGAAAAAAAATATACCTGCCATATCAGAGAAAGAAGTAAACAACTCTCTAGATTTTGGTGCTTTTTTTTTTTTTCCCCTCACATGCCAAGCAACACATTGATGGTTTTCTGTTTTTATAATACATGCTTTCCCACAAATGTCACCTTTCTGTGTTGTGGCTGGGCCTGGGTTACAGCACGAGGGAACCTTCAACTACTGTATTATCCAAAGGCACAATTCACAACATGTTCTGGTTTTTCTCACTGTAGTATCTGTGGGGTTTGTAATTGATTAGTGTAGATAATATGATTGTTGATCCTGTTACATTTGTTAGGTCACTATAAGATGAACTTCTTTGTGCTGACCTGTTTACATACCACTTTTTGATCGATGGAAAAAACACAGCATGAATGCTCTTAGGCTAGGAAATTAAATGGATGTCTTTATGACTAAGGACAGACCTCTGAAGTCTTAATTTCAGTGTTGGCAACAGTCTTGCTGGGGCAGGGCTCCGCTTTGGCTTTTTACCCTGCATCCAGAAAAGCAAATCAGCCAAGTGCTAAGCTCTCTTCACCTGTGGTTAAACTGCTTGTGATACCTTTGCAAATTTAATTTCCCTTCTAGCTTAGTTAAATCTAGCCTTTTCTGTGCTCATGGGATTTTGAGCAGATGTACCTGAAGCCTTATTACTGCTCTGCTGCTCACCAACATTGTTAACATCAGAAGTTCAACACACACAACAAAGACGTACACTTAAATGTAGCTTGACCTTCTTGTCGTATTTCCTTGCATACATGTCTGCTTAAATAGCACAACACATCAAAACATTCAGTGTAATAGTTGCCTGCTGTCAATAGTAAAATTGTAAAGAAAAAAATTATTTATCATATATTGTATATCAGCTAAAATATGTTTTATTCACCTGTGCCATTTGGGGGAATCTGTGGGGTTTTTAAGTACTAACGCTGAATTTTAACAACTGCATAGGCATAATTTTTTTTTTCAGTATCTCCCTTCTCTTTTTAATGATAATCTTTGACTCATTCTTAGGGCATTTTTAGATCTCAAAGTGCCCAGGAAATGGGAGGCCTGTTATTTTTACTAGTATTTTACAAATTAGGAAACTGAGAGTTGAAAATTCTGCAGATTGCCTGAAGTCTATCAGGAACCCCATGTCAGTTGTAGCAACAGAACCGCATCTACTTTAAAGCAATTTTTTTCATACTCCTTGACTTGACTGTGATATTTCCACACCTGTAATTCTAAATATTTTAAACTACTTGGTTAGTAAGATACAGTAGCTGAATCTGGTATGTGAGTAGTTAGAAGTGCATGAATATAAGGACAAAATTTAGAAATCAAAATTTTATTGGAATACTACTATGCTCAAATACTGCACTTTAACCATTTGATAACGATTTCATTAATTCTTTTTTTATACATATCTCATATTTATTCTATATGAATAGTGCCAGCCATTCTGAATGAAGCCATTCCATCAGCTACACAGACTATCGATGAAGGTCTCAATACCTGCCACGTGCTAGCTCACAAGTACACAGCTCTGTTGGAATCCATGCAGGAAGACCCCCACAGATATATGCAGCTTAGTTCGTTTAAATTAAAAGAAGCACTTTTCAATGTGAGACAGTACGAGGCCTTCCTTTGCATCCTTCTGGTGAGATACCATCATGTTGTGTCCTGTGGGGTTTTATTGCAGTTGGAATGTATTCAAGTTACTGACTTGTACAGGATAGAAATATAAGAAAAATTATTCAGAAATAAATGAAATAAAATGTGTCTCTAGATAAAGAGTCATAGAACCATAGAACCATGGTTTAGGCCAGAAAATACCTTTAAAATCCTCTAGTCCAGCCATTAACCTGGCACTGCCAAGTCCTCCATTAAACCGTGTCTATAAGTGCGACATCTACACATCTTTTAAATACCTCCAGGGATGGGGACACAACCACTTCCCTGGGCAGCCTGTTCCAGTGCTTGATAACCCTTTCTGGGAAGAAATTTTCCTTGATGTCCAACCTAAACCTCCCCTCATTTCACTTGAGGCCATTCCCTGTCACCCTGTCACTTGGGAGAAGAGACTGACCCCCACCTGGCTACAGCCTCCTTTCAAGTAGTCATATGGAGTGAGCTGGTTCCCCCTTTTCTCCTCAGCTCCCTCAGCCGCTCCTCATAAGACTTGGGCTCCAGATCCTTCACCAGCATTTTTGCCCTTCTCTGGACAAAATCCAGCACTTCAGTGTCCTTCCTGAATTGAGGGACCCAGAGGAACACAGGATTCAAAGTGTGGCCTTACCAGGGCCAAGGGGACTATCAGTTCCTAGTCCTGCTGGCCCCACTATTTCTGATACAAACCAGGATGCCACCTGGGCATGCTGCTGTCTCATGTTCAGCTCCGGCTGACCATCACCCCCAGATCCTTTTCCACTGGGCAGCTTTCCAACCACTCTGCTCCCAGTCTGTAGCACTGCATGGGGTTGTTGGGATCCAAGTATAGGACCCAGCATTTGGCTTTGTTGAAATTCATGCCACTGGCCTCAGCCTGTTGATCCAGCCTGCGCAGATCCCTCTGCACAGCCATCCTACCCTCCAGCAGATCAACACTCCCATCAACTTGGTGTCATCTGCAAACTTACTGGGGGTGCTCTTTACCCTCTCATCCAGATCTAAAGATATTAAACGGGGCTGGCCCCGGTGCTGAGCCAGCCACCAGCTGGATTTAACTCCATTCACCACCACTCTTCTTGTTTGCATATTGATACTCTGCCCCAAAAGATATGAGAGAAAAAAAATCTGCTTGATCAATCTATAAATCATGTCAGTTTTAGATTGCAGATAACCCCAAATTTTATTGAATCATCTTTGAAGAATATAATTTAAATTCTTGTTTTGTTAATGAAGAGCTTTTCATTTATCTTTTGAGAAACTGTGGGGTTTTATTAGTTGTTATACTATAAAGCATTGAATTTTTTTTTTAATTCTCTTCATTGTGAAAATGTAGAGAATTGTCTATAAAAAGTACTAATATACACATTTGAGTGAAGTGCCTGTTTTTATACCTGAGCATTTAAGGAAAAAATTGCTTTGTGGAAAGTTGGAAGGCATTTCATTCCTTAAAACAGTTGTCTGAAAATAGTTGAATTGAGAGATACAAGTAAATACTTATTATTAAATGCTTGATTTTTTTTTTAATTTATAACTTTACCTGAAGTAAGTTCTCTTTCCAGTCTGATGCAATTACCAGTGCTCAAGAAGTTGAAACATTGAGTGTTCAGTTTACAGCAACAATGATGCAACTGAAAAACACAGTGCAGGATAAGATTTCCATAGATTCCAAAGAAGTTTTTGTAAGTATTATGAATAGAAAACACTTTTTTTCTTCATTATAAAAAATTATTAAAGCATTATAGAATACTTTGCTGGTGTATTTTTGAATAGTTCTTGTTAAAAAAAAGGCTACATCATTTTTTCCTTATTATAATAGCATCTGCAATTTTTGAAGGGGTAACTAAAGTAGCAGTCTCAAGGTAAGAAAAAAGAAAGGAATAAAAAGGGAGCAAAAGAACTAAATGGTATTTTGCTGTAAGTGTCTTGCATTATTTGTCAGTATTTGTAGATGTACAGAGATATTTTCCTTTTTTTGTGTGTAAATATTCTCTCCGGTTCCTTGCAGAAACTGTAAGAACATAATGATTACAAAAACCAGCACATCAGAGTGTGCTTCTTTAAAGTCCCTTCAGATAGCAATCCCTGTGATTGCAGTATGACTCATTGATACAATTTTTCTAAAGAATCCAGGTTTCTGTGATGGGGTTTTCAGCCTCTTTTCCCTTCCCAACAGCTTCTGAACCTGTTGGCAAGTTTCAGTCACGTTTCTCAAAGATCTCAAGATATGTCATTTTCTCTAAGTTTTGTGGGAAAAAAAGAGCAACTAGAGAGGCCTTCTGAGATCAAGTGTGAAATGGTTTGTGGGCTGTCTGGGCAGTGAGCAGCCAGTGAAGGCACCTCTGCACAACTGATGTTCTGTACTGTTTCATCCTGGTTGGGAGCTACAAGGTATGGGAGAGAGGTATTTGGAGAAGAGGGTCTCTCATGACCCTGTGAAGACCTGGGATTATTATGCTGGCGTGATGTAAAGGAAATGGAAGAGAAATATGTCAGAAACCATCTTCATTTTATTTGCTTTTCACGGAAGAGCTCATTATTTTGTATGATATGTTTATCATTTTAATTCCTTGTAGTTAGCTGCTGAACCAGTATGCAGTTCATACAGAGGTTATTTTTCATCATTCTGAGCTAATTATTATAAGGCAAATAAGAGTCTACTGTGGAGGAGGGAGGAAGATCATGGCCCCACACATACTCAGAGTATTTTTTACCCTTCCCATAAGGGCATCTGAACTGGAAACTCATGGGAACGACACTTTTAACTGTGGTGCATCTCAGATGTGGTCTGACACTTCAATTTATGTGTGCTTGTGATTTTATAAACCAGATGTTCTCACCTGGAGAACAATTTCCCCTCTTGAACAGAATCTCAGAGCACTTTTTCCTCTTCTGCTGTTTTTTCACAGGGCTTAAGTGACTGATATATGTTACCCTTTCCCCTAGAAGTTGTCTGGTGTTGTCTGCTGCCTCCCTAGATTTTTTTTCTCTCTTCTGTTTGGTTAGTTGTTTTTTCTCCTCTGCTGAAGACACAATATGTAATGGCTTTTGATTTCAGGTCTTTTTCAAGTAGAGATTTCTCTATTAATAGACCACTTTCACTGCTTTCTGTGTATTTAGATGTGACAGGACACATTTTATGTCACTGTCATTGAAATCAACATTTGTATCTAAAGCTTATTGGCTTCTTCTGTATGTGTGTGCACCCGTATGTCAGCATTGCTGCTGGGAATAGCATCTTCCACTTTTGCCCTGAACCCTCTGAAAAGGGTTCTGAAGAGGCTTGCACCCCTTTAGTCTGACACACATGATGGCCCAAGGGCTGTGGGACCAAGTCACACTGGAAACACGGCAGACAAAATAAGAAAACCTGATAGTTTGTACATCTAGCTATGGGTTTGCCTCATTTACTAATTAATCAGGTATGTTTCTTCTGGTCCTTATTACTGTATACCTTATTTTCAAAAAGTTATATAACTGTGTGGCCAGTGCAGTGCTCTATTCCATGCACGGTCTCGGTTACATATTTGGGAAAGTCTTTGGAGTAAAATGTAGAAAAGCACCTTTCTGGCCTATGGGTTAACATGCTGTCGTGGTTTTGCTTTGGGTCATTTTGCTTTTCACTCTCCACACAATTACTACTAGTTGAGAGAAGGTTTTTTGCAGACAAAAGAGAGACAGGATTTGGGGAAAACAGTATAAACATTTCTTACTAGTAAAATAAAAATTACTAATGAATTAAAAACTAAAGAACTATATTTACAACAATTTCTATTCAAGTTGAAGTGCAATATATTTACAGAAATACTTCTTCCCCTTTTATACTAGTCTAAGGAGAAGAAGTAGTCTTATTCTCTATTTTCGGAGTTCCAGTTCTCTCTCTCTAGTAATAGATCTTCAGTAGCAGCAGTATTTTCATTGCAGCTGGAACCTTTTCTCTCTCTTTCTCGCTCTGAGGGGGCTTACCCCCCCTCCTGGGCTAAGACCGAAGGCTGGGGGTTACCCAGGTCCCAAAGGGGTCTTCTTTCCATAGGCTTGCAAGGGGACACTTGCTTACTATGGATCTTCTTCCACAGGGTTACAGGGGATAATGGCTTAAGAGTTCACCCCTGTTTCCTTATGGAGGTCCCTCCCCATGGGAGAACAGTCCTTGATAGACTTCTCGGCATGGGTCTAGCACGGATCCACACACACACGGATCCCAACATCTCACATGGGCTGTCTCGCTCCAGCATGAGATTTCTCAGGGTTACAAAATCTTCAACAGCAGTATGGATCCACACACACACGGATCCAAATATCCCACCTGAGTCGTCACTGCTCCAGCACAGGTTTCCCTCAGGGTCACAAATTTCCACCAGGACTCTGCCTCATTTCAGTCTTTCTCATGAAGTCTTGGTTTTCTTTGGTATATTTACAGACTCCTCTATCAGCCGCGTGGGGGGTCTTCTTACTCCAACAAACTTTTATAAGTAGCAGGGATTACTTTTTAGTCTTTTCCCTGCTGAGGAGAGAGAGCCAAAAGGGGGGGGAGAAACAAGCCCCCCCTTTCGCACTTTACTTTTCTTGCTGCAGCTTCAGCTGCCAGCTTCAATCTTGGAAGCTCCATTATCTTTCAGCTGGAATTCTTCCACAGCGGTTTTTGTCCAAGCAGTTAGAAACTTTTTTTCTTCACTCTCTTACAAGAGAGAAGGGAGGACTTCAGTGCTGCACCTGCTCCCTCCACCCCGGCCCAAGCCGGGGGAGGAGGGAGTCTGGCCCTGCTCGGGCCCACTACTCCTCTCCCCTACGTGGCTGCTGCTACCAATTCCAACTGCGCCAACAACCTTCTCTTCCGTTTTCTTGAAGATGTAATTAGCAAAGGCATTACTGGACTTTTGATTGGCCTTTTTGTCCGGAAATTACCTGGACAAAACCATCCTCAGCCCCAGAGATGGGCTGGTGGGCAAAACCACAACAATGTACGTGCTTTGGATGTGCTTCTGATGGTAACTCCTTTTAAAGTGTCCAGGATTTCACCTGAAATTTCTGGTTGCTGAAGGCCTTGGAGATCAGCCCTGCTTTGTTCACAGCAGAGATTGTTGTGCACAGCACTTGGGTTACACTGCATACGTAAAATAAATCTGGATAATTTTCTTTATGTTCTAGCCTCTGTTTCTTGAACTTTCTAAACTCTGGACCGGCTTTCAGGATGAAATGCTACTGCTAAGCTTCCTCACAAGTATGACTAGCAATCTGCAACAGTTCTTGGAAATCCACTCACAGCTTTTTCCTGAGGAAGTGCTAACATCTCTTCTGGAAGGTGTGACTGTGAAAAGTGATGAGGAAAGGATAAGAGAAACCATGGGTATGGGAAATTAATACTTTTTTATTTTCTTTCATTTTCCAAGATTTTATTTGAATTTTCTTTACAGAAGGTGTTACATATTGATTTTTTAAAATTCAGAATTTGCTCAGTAAATCAAAATAAGCCTGCTAGTGTGTAGATTTATTTTTTCATGTGGTATAGCTTGGGATTTCATTTTTGCATATAAAATTAAAATATAGCTACTAGATACAAACATACCTTTCGAAAATGGTGGAATGATAGAGAATATTTATACTTTTTTTTATTTCTTAAGTTTATTTATGGTTTTTTATACGTTTCAGAACTTCTGAAAGGGAGGGGGATGATAAACAAGGTGCTTTAATGGGGCTTTGGTTACCAGAAATGTTTGTTTGTAAGATGGTATCCCTAGCAACCAAGTTTTACACCAGGGCATCTGTAATGCATGGATGGGTGAAAACAAAATAGAAGAATAAGATATTACCTTCCTGTTGTTGTCCCCTGTTTTTAAAGAGAACTAAAACTACTAAAGAAGGCTCCCACAGGACTGATTTTTTGAGCAGGTTCTCTTTAAAGGCAGGACTAATTTTGTTTTTTGGGATCTTGGCACTGCAGGTCATCCTGTGAAAACCAGAGTAATCTGGTCATCCTGTAACATTATTATATTTTAAACACCTGATATTTTGATACTGAAAATCCTTCCTTTGTTAAATCATTTCTTAGGAACCAGAGTGAATGTTTCTGATTTCAAGAACCAAGAATGGCTTTTTCCAGAGACAACTGATAATTTTGATCAACTGCTAATCCAGTACCATAGTTTCTGTGCACATGCAATTGGTGTGGAAGGCCTCATCCTACCAGGTATGGTTTGTAATCAGACATTTTCAATACTATATATGTATACAAGTACTAGGGAAAATGCAAAGGCATTCTGAATGCATCCTCTTCCATCAGAGGTGGAGTACTGTGTTTCCACATTTGTAATTTTCACTCCAGATAACTTGTTTCCCCTGCTAAAGAATTTTTCTTCTTAAAATACACAAAGTGCCCAAAATAGAAGGCAGGAGGGCTTCAAGAGAAAGTAGGCATGAGCAAGCAGAGGCAGCAACAAGATGAGATGGATAAATGTTTCTTTCTGCTGCGTGTGCATCTGTATAACCTACACTGCAGCTGAATACAGGCTTGCTTGCTGTTGTTAATGCGCTATAATCCAGGCATGGGAAAATGATCATTCCTTCTATTTTGTGTATGCCTGCGTTGCAAACACATCCATTCATGGCTACATCATATGTATTTTAAATAGTCATTAGAAAGTACTAGAAATCTTCTCTGAAAAGACTGCAAAAGTGCACTTGACTGAGCCAGCTGATCACAGGAAATTGTTTGGTCTCTTCTGGGTTCATTTGTCTTGAAAGCGTGCCTTATTTCAGCTACCTCAGTCCATGTGTTCTGTCTCCCTGTCCTTTATAGAACCTATCTATGTAGAATTTTCTTAAACCTACAGGGGGCTGAGAGGAAAGGATTGCCATTACTTGGCAGTATGAAAGAATAGATATTTTAATGACAATGTAAATTACTTACTTAGTGCTGCATATGAGAACAACTGTCCTGAGTTGGACTGAAGGTCTCTCTAGCCCTGTATCTGATCAATGGATGCAGGCAGTGATGACCCCTTGAAGTTTATGAGAAATGAAGTAGGAATGATCCTCCCTTAATTATATCCTTCCTTGCTCTGGCAGTTAGTGGTTATGGGATTTCCTCAGAAAAATGTTGAGTCTGTAACCTTCTGTTGAATAATCCTTCATAAACGTTTTTCATTTATCTAATTGATTCTCGAACCCATCTCAAGTTTTCCATGGGATACTCTTATCACCAAGAGCCCCACAATTTATAATTATGTATGCTATGAAAAAGTACCTCTTTTTGAGATGGTTTTAAGCTCTGGCTTGATAATTTCAAATTAGCAAATAGTAATTTTATATTGCACACAATTCATGGTTTTATTACTTCGTATCATATTACTTCTTTTTAGTTGTTTCTTTTTGATGTCTTTCTTTAAACTCTCCTCCTGTGAAAGGTATTCCAAGCCTCTGATCACTTCCAACTCCCTTTTATTTGTTCTGCTGTGTTGTAGCAAAATATACGATTACAAGTGTAGCGTACAGGTTGTTGTAATGCTGGTTTTCTTCTCCTCCTCTGTTTGCATCCTAATAATTCATTACTTTTTTTTTTTTTTTTCTTTTTTTAACTGCAACTGAGTAGTGTCATTTAGGATTTTCAAGGCACTGTCTATAATGATTCTGTCTTTCTTGGGCAATGATGTCTGAAACAGAGCCTGCCACTGTCCTTGAACTGAATTTGTGCTTTCCTATATAAGTTATTTGGCCTTTATTGACACTTCACTTTCTTTGTTAATTTATTGTTCAGCTTCTCAGCTGCTTTATCTGCTTCTCCAGTTAATTTCAGTGTTATGCCCTTTGGTCTAGATGCACTGCTGATCTACAATCAGGTATTTTCTGGAGATTATAGGGGAAACATTTGTGGGTATAGACTGATTTCTTATGCCTTTGCTATAGATACTTTATCTTTTGTTTTTCTGAGACATGCAGAAAGGCATAATAGATGTGAACTGATCAAAAGCAGTTACACTGACCTAAAAAATACTAAAAAAACTTTCTTTCAGCGCTTATTCTGATTTCAGAAAAAGAAGGATGTTGAAACTGACTTGAGGGAAACACAGAATCTTGATTAAAAATTTCGTTTGTATTTGATATCATACTGTTCAGTATTTTATTTAGTGGGGTTTATTTTGGGCTAGTTTCTTCCTCTTTTTTTAGGAAATCCTGCTATTGGAATTTTGAAGCACAAGGCGAAATACTATGTTTTCAGTTCCAAAGAAGCTGCATACACCTTTGCTCAAGATCCAGATAAGTTCATTCAGTTGAACGTAGAAAAAGCGAAAGAATATGCAGAGCTAATTCAATTGCTTGAGCTCCATCATCACTTTGAATACCTTTTTCCACGTGCACAGGTACACGCTGCCCATGCCTCTTGCTGAACAGCTGTTGGGGTCACTTGTTACTCTGTCCTTTCTAGAACATAAAGAGAACAGAAGATACACATCTTTAGGAAAAAAAGTAAAATCATCCGCCTATCATACAGAATGTCTGAGGGTCCTTCTTTTCCAGGTCCTCAGAGCTCTGAAGAAACATTTTCACTTACTGTCATTCTCACCTTCTCTCTTCATAGGAGAGTATGTACATCCAAAGGATTGTGGCAGCGATGAAGCTGTCAGTTCATAGCTTAGGAAGGTCTTGTGTCTGATGTTTCTTCTCCTCATTTTTGCAGAAGTAGCTCAAGGGGGACAGTAAATAAATGCAACAGAAGATAAGTGAGATACCATATTAACTGGAGTTTTAGCTTAGCAGTCCATCAGTGTGTTCTGGATGAGGGTATAGTGATATCTGAGGAAAGGAGTTATGGAATATATTACAAAATAAAAAGAGATTCTAATAATGAATGTGGCAGTGCTACTGTGTGAAAGCCAAAGACTTGATTTGGAGTCACAGACATTATCTGTGATCCACTGTGAATGCTGGGTCCCTAGCAGTGGAAAGAATGTGGTCTTGAATTTGCCCTTAGTGTGAAAGATATAGTTTATATCCTGGCTCTAGCAGAGATGTAAGCACTTCTCCCAGTTATGATTTGTGATATTTAGTCCATTCTTAAAGACAAACTGAAGTGCCTGCATCATAAAATACTAGGGGTGTTGGTTGGACACCTTTTTACCAAAATCCAGTAATTATTCACTCACTCAGGATGTGGGAGTCTGAAATTTAGCTATTGCTTCTGCCTAAAGGGTTTTCTGTCAGAAATTAAATCCATCAAATACTTAATGGCTTCTTCTTTTTTTAGTGGGGGCAAGGGGAACAAAAGTATTCTGGAATGTAAAAATCATTGTCCAGTTGTGGTTTGCAGATCTCTATTTGCTTTTAAAAAGTAGCATATCTGTATGCTATTTCTCTTAGATGTCTGTATTCTTCTCATATTAATGCCTTGCTTGGTTTTGGTTGTGGTGGTTTTTTTTCATGCAGGCCAGAACTGCAGACAAATGTTTGATGAAACCAACTGCAAAATGTGACAGTAGTACTCAAACTGATACTCATATCTTGCCTCCAACTATTGTGAGATCCTATGAATGGAATGAATGGGAACTGAGAAGAAAAGCTCTAAAATTGGTTTGTATTGTTATTACCAAATTTTCATTGTTGGATGACAAAACTGAGAGTAAATTATTCTAAATTTTGTTCTTTGAAACATAAATCCAGCCTTTTATTCAAAGACATAAACTTTGTCACAAGCAGCTCAATATTTTTTTTCCAGGTAATTTTTCTCCTTATTTCTAGGCTTTCTTCTTCTCTCACTTTTTACATATTTTTCCCCATTTTTGACCAGTGCTTCCATTGTTATATCTATTAATTCCAAATTTTTCAGTTGCTTTCTTTATGTAATAAGAGTTTGTTGTTTAGCGTCGAATACAAAAGTTGGTTTTCTGCACTCAAATCAATTAAACAGGTTGAAGATACTAACATATAATTCCTTTGTAAGAAAAAAATAATAATGGTTGCACAAAGGTTTAGGTCACGCAAAACTTTATTGCAAATTGAATAATTTATATTAATGTTTATCACCATGAAACAAGAGGAGGAAAAATGCAGTAATTGGCAGGCAAAATGATAAGGAATACCTTTGGATATGTTTGACCCTGCAGAAGCTTTCTTTGAGCTAATTTTTCCATCCTTGAAAGGTATCAAAGCATGGGACCTTTTTTTTAGATTTTTGTTAGATTATTTTGGTAATGAAATACTTTATATTTTATCCTCATTCTCTATGTTCACTAAAAGCAATTATTTTTATTGAAAAAAAAATTTAAAAAATTATTCTTTCATACAGGACCAGAGAGGTAAGAAACAGAGCCAGAAGGTTTTCTGCTGTATATATAAGCCAGAGGAAATGTCTGTTATACTATCATGATGATTTTCTGATGGATTGGAAATCGCAGTCCATCCACAGAAGGTTGACTACATACATAAATAAAAGCTTTTAAATCAACAGCATTTCAAAAGCTTCTTTCTAGGGTTTGCCAGCACACACAGTTGTCAAGGTATAGCACCTGATTTTCACAGTTCAGTCACAATGAACTTGTAAGTACAGGGAGTATTGCAGTTCCCAATATCAACTGGAAAAAGATACTGCAGGGTTCTTTTTTTCCCTTCTCTGAACAGATGCACTATGGAGGCCTGTGGTCTGCTGGGCAGCCTGTTTCCTTTCTGGTTTTGGTTTGGGGTTTTTTTGCCATGAAATCTCTATTATATAAGGATTATATATCATATATTATATTAGGATATTATATAAGGAAACCAAAATTTTGGACTGAGGAGTCTTCCTATTGTTGTCAGTAGATTCTCTTCAGCATAAGCAGAAGTGAATGTTTCCCAACAGCTAATCATGAAGACCATTCACAAACAAATTAGTCTGAAATATTTAGAGAAAATACTTTCAAGTACTCAGGGTGTTTTAGCCTCAGCTGTCCACATGAGAGATTAGTGATGCGGAGTTGAAATAAAAAATCCCGGATGCCTGCAAAAGTGTTTTGTCTACAGTAGTTGGTAATATGGAGGTGATAAAACATTTAGAATCAAAATGCTAAATGAACAGAAATAGTTTACCAGTACATCAGTGAATTTGATACTTTAGGGGAGCATTGGACATATTTCCTGGTTTTGTTAGAGGATGAGCTCAGATGCCTTCGGGGTTTTTTCCTGTTGTTCATACTTAGCGAGAAAAGTTGTAGTGGCAACTACAAAAGTGTTAAACTCTTACTTTGTTAATACACCTATATGCTGTTAGAAGTAAAATTTTCAGCTCACATTTGTTTCTCTGTGTGAGCACAGTTCCTTGTAATAGCATACATTCAATTTTCAAGAGAGGTAAACTTATTAGAGGACCAGTATCTCATGCCTGCTCTTCTTTTAATTGTCATTAAAACCTTCAGAAAAAAAGACTTAATATATTGTCTTTCTTCACATGCCATCCTACTGTTATTTTCTGTATTTTCCTTGATGATTCTGTACATAAGATTCAGTTGTAGATTAAGGTACCAGAGTGTGTCTACAGACAAGTGTTTCACCTTCCATTCCAGCTGACAGAGATATCGCTAGTGGAATCTGGAGAATAGTTTTGACTTGCCCTGATGCAAACACCAAATCTGGACAACTTTATCACTCTCCAGCTTCCACTTATTCCAGTCTCCACTGACTGGAATGGGCTCCAGGGACTTACTCACTTACATGTAGGGGTCTGAATCCCACCACATGAGACTGTATTTTGTATATTTCAATGAAAATATAGTGTCATATGATTTAAAGTGTTTTATATTGTTGCTGACATAGAAGGCTGAGTGGAATAAGGAACATGTTGTTGTTTCAAGTGCTGGCTTTGCAATATTAACAGTTTGTGAGAAGTGGTTTTGTGATTGTATCTATAGCAGTTCCTGTGACTAAACAGAGCTTTAATCATAAATTACCTTAACTTTTGCCCCTTGCCAAGGGGTTAGTGAGCAATGTCATGAAAGAAGACATTTTTCCCTTTTATCTGATGCTTTGTGACACCAACCTGTAAACATCATTACATTTTGTATAAACCAGACAAATACTGGAAGAGCTTACCATAAAAACATTTTATTCTAACAGAACAAAGCCTTTAGCACCTAACAAAATTTTCCAGGACAATGACCAGTGGAAAATAGGAAATTGTTAAGAGACTCACTTAAAGTTGTGTGGGCTACATACAGTGCTGTTCACACATCCTGTTAGTTCAGGAGTTACCAAATCACAGTCACAAATGTGTATTGACAGAAGGACAAAGTGGGCCATGGTCCAGGTTTGTGAAGCCCGTAGACGTAAAACAAACACACCTGAGTACATACTAGTGCTAAAATGTTCAAACACAATTTTGCTTAATCCGATTCTTCTTCTGTCTTTAGGCCAATTTGCGTCGCAAATTAACTCACGCCATGCAGACTGATCTCAGCCATATGAAAAGAGAGAACTTCACCCAGGTGTACTTGCCAAAAGATGTGGGCACCCAGACTAAGCGTGACAACTCCAGCAATGTACCCAGACCACAGATTTTCTTGAAAGGTCTCCGAGGACAATCCTCTCCTACTACTCATATGGTCAAAGTAGACTTAACAAGAGCAGTAGATGAAACCTAAGTGGAAATAAGAAACCTGAAGACACATATCGAATGTGTACATAAAAATCCCTGAATATATCTGAACTCAGGTATTAAAGATGTTGCTGTGTCTGTTGATTCCAGGAGCAATAATCTTATCTATTGTGGCTTCTGACTGGCCTTAGGTGATAGAAATGAAAAGCCTGAAGCACGCAGATTTCAAACAGCTATTTTGGATCAAGATGTTCCCAAGGACTTTCACCTAAAATAACATTTAAATGTGCAGTGTCTGTTCTGGGATTTTCTTGAAGATTGAATACAATTTTTGCTTGTTGAAACGCTGTTGTTAAGTGAAATAAGAGAGTCACCCATTTGCCACAGCTCCAGCCTTAGAGTAGAATTGTCAGGAAGGTAAAACCAGCAAAGTAAGACCAGTCTGGGTCCTTGGGCCTGCGCATTTGTGCTGGTGTTAACCCGACCCAATGAGTGTAACCCATTGCAGGGATGTTGAGAAAAGGGAATCTATTTTGGATTACTCTGGCAACCCTTTGGATCTCTAGAAATTTCCGTATTTGCTGGCTAAACAGTGTGCTGGGAAGCACGCTGCAAACCATAGGAACTTCTGGGCGCCTTTTCCAAAGCTCTGTTTTGTTTATGTTTGAAAAGCTAAAGCAAAACAGGAAAAGGTTTTTAGCTTTATGTAACTGTGTCAGGGAAATATGTGCCAGGTCTGATCAATGCAACTGGCAGCCAGTATTTCTGTGTGTGAAAACCCGCATCATTTGAGATTTAAGATGAAACATCTTCTCAAATGGAAGCAGGGGATACTTCAGATCAGAGATTCTTTTCAGGATAACAAAGAGGTCCACAAGTTGCTATCTGCAAAATGTCCAGGTGCACAACTGTGATTGCACAGGGTGTGCTAAGGTTTCTAAACCTCCTTTTGTGTGTGTGTGTGTGTGTGCAGTGTGGTGCAGCATGGTTTCCTGGTCATTGTTACACAAGCCTGTGACAATGAAGCTCAAAGATTCAAGCTGCTGAGTGATTTTTCGGGGACATTGTGCAGGACAGCATTCTCTTGTATTTTAACTGTTTCCAAGGTATCTGGCTTCACTTTTAAAAGTTATACAACTGGGATAAATCCACAAAGCAGTATTAAAAAAAACACAAAGGAGCTGGAGGAGAGCACTAAGAAAGAACTTTACTAAATGGTTTTTCACTAGGTGATTTTATCTTTTGGGAAAATAAACTAAAGAGTAGCAGCCAGATGTGCTGCTCCTCCCTGTTTTTAAATTATGAGCTGGCACCAATGATTAGATTTATTAATAAAAACATGAATGCAATTACCAGCTGCAGCTTTAAAAAAAAAAAAAAAAAAAAAAGGGTAGGGGGGAATACCCTATTGCTGCTTTATTAAACACTTTCTTTTGCTGTGTTTTGACCATCATTCGCTTTGAAGCTTTTAAGTTACAGGTTTTACCAACAAACCGGTGTTTCATTTTTTTTATCTCAGTTATACAGGCTGACCCGGGAGGTGGTGGAGTCTCCCTCTCTGGAGACATTCAAACCCCACATGGGTGTGTTCCTGTGTCACCCGCTCCAGGTGACCCTTCCTTGGGAGGGGGGTTGGACTGGGTGATCTCCAGAGGTCCCTTCCAACCCTAACGATTCCGTGATTTCAAGGGTCAATAAATACATTTTATTTATTAGAAAAATGATGAGTGAAAATTCCTTTTATGCTACTTTGTTCTTTTCCATTGGGGAAATTTTACTGCGGCGTTGTAAAGTGCTGGGGAATTGTAACCCCCATCGCAGTTCCGGAGCGCCAGAAACGTGCCGGTACCGAGGAGCTTTCTCCTGGCAACGAGAAATACGTGTGCGAGATTCCTGGGTGTTTACTGCCGCTAAAACAGTTCCCGCCGAGGCCGGGTGGAGCAGGATTGTACCCAGGATAACATCCAGGCGGGACGGAGCCGACTCGATGGTGCGGCGCGGGCGGCGGGGCGCTCTGGGCGGCCGCTCCGCTCTCTATGGTGCGATGGGAGGAGCGGCGGGGCACGGCGGGCGGCTCCGGCCCGGCGGTCCTGGCGCCTTCGGCGAGCACCATGTCGCCTCCGAAAGGTGAGGGCGGCGGCGCGGGGCACTCGGCGGGTTCCGCGGCTCCCGGGGGGCGGCAGGGCCGGAGAACGGGGGCAGTTCCCACTCCCACCCCCGGCAAGAGGAAGCGCGACCCGCGCGCCCACGGCTCCCCCCTGCCTCCCCCGCTCCAGAGGGAGTGGAACTGTCCTCCCCGCTGCGGGCTGCGGCACCGGGCGCCACCACCGCGGACGCGAGGGGGGAAGGAAAGGGCTGCGCGGGGTCGCGCCGGGGAGGGGCTCTTCCCGCCTGCCTTCCCCCACCCCGCTCTCCTGCCGCTGCCGGGCCGCTTCTCCCCGCCGTGCGGGACCGCTGCTTCCCGGCCCGGGGGCGGCCGGTGCTGTCGGTGCGGGGCTCCCCGGCGCGCCTCCGCTTTCAGGATTAGCGGCAGCCGCGTCTCCCCCGCCGCCGGTTCCGGCTCCGGGAGAGTCCGAACGTGGCGCGGCGTGTTTGGGGCTCATCCCGAGGTGCAGGTGGTCAGTGCACAGGGACACGCCCGATCCCACCCTGCGGGCGCCGCCGCACCACGGTGTCTGTTGGGCTATGGTTGGGTTGGACATTAGGAGGAATTTCTTCACAGAAAGGGTGATTAGACATTGGAATAGGCTGCCCAGGGAGATGATGGAATCACCGTCTCTGGAGGTGTTTAAGGAAAGACTGGATGTGGCACTTGGTGCCATGGTCTAGTTGACATGATGGTGTTAGGTGATTCTGTGTGCAATGAGGCCGTGCGCCGGTGGTCCCAAAACCAGAACCCTCGAGCAAGCCAGGAGGGCTGAAATCCATCCGGAAGGCAATGCCTGCCCCTCTGCCAGCTTCCCCCACGGAGAGCCTTGCACAGGGCTCTCCAGTTCTTGTGGCCGGGAAGGGCGAGGAGCAGGAGGGATCCCTGCGGCGTGTGCCAGGCACCCACCGCCCCAGCTGCCCAGGCAGGGTTGTGCTCCCTGTGCCAGGCTTGGCTTTGGCTGCATCCCAGGAGCCCTGGCGGAGCCGTTAGATGAGCTGTGGAGATGTGTGGGAGGCCCGCCCTTATATCCTGAGGCTTTTGGCCTGTCTGGTCCCTTTTGCTGGAAATCGTTTTATCTGAGCGGGATCTACAGGGAAAGAAACAACAGCTTCTTTCAGCTCTTTCAGCTCTTTTCTTTAGGCTGGTATAAGTTCAGATTTGTCAGGAGAAGATATGGGTGCCCCAGCAGTGCTTTCCTTCTCCTCTGTGCGCTGCACTGGTACCAATGCAGGCACGTGAGCCAGGCTGGAGAAATGTCCAAGCTGAAAACTAACTGCAGATACCTTTTTACATAATGCTAGAACTATTCAGTCTAGATTCATTATGTCCAAATTATGCATTTGGTTTACCCAAGTTTGCAAACCCTTCCCATTTGGGACATTCATTTTTTATTTTTTTTTTTTAATAGTAGTTAATACAGGCAGGGATTAAATTCAGCTTTAGTTAGTAGTGCATAGATTTAAATCTTCTTGTGTCAAAACACAGTGAAAATATAATTTCTGCAAGCACTAAAACATCATTAGAAAATACGTTTTTGTAAAACTAGACTGGGTTAATTATATTTCCTGGTTGTTATGCCCTTGGATTCCCACTGCCTGTCCCCACATTCCAAATGTAATTTAAAAACTGGATTACAGCTTGTAAGTCTCTTCTAAGCATTGTTAGTCCAAAAATTAATTGGCTCTACCTTTTAAAAGCGGTTACTGAGGTGGGTGAGATTTTTATCTATAAGGAAGTAGCTAATTTAAATTATTGCAGCAGCAGGAGGTATTAACTGTACCTTGCAGAAATGTTACACAATTGAAGACATTGCTGGCTTGAAAGCAACATGAGCCAAAACACTGGTTGCACTGGATTCAGCAACTCATTCCCATATTAAATGAGCAAAGTTATTACAAATCTTCTTATCTTGTCGCTCATTTGCTGTTCAGCAGAGGTGCATACACTTATACCAGTTAAATTAAGGTTTTTTTAGGATGTTCAGAAAACGACAGGTAGTGGCCCAAAAGGTGCTGCTGAATGACCAACATCCACAGGACAGATGCCAAACACAACAAAGAATAATCTACCAGTTTGAAAGGTAGTTTCGTAGAAACCACACGTTTGCTGATGTGTTGTGGTCGGGCTTCTGTGCAGAGAAGTCCGTTTGAAGTCGTGCTCTGTTCTTCCTCCTGGTTCAGATGCAGGATTAGCCATTCTCTGATGTGGGAATGAACTGGTGCAGCCCGGCCGTGTCCACCCAATGGAACTCTCAGGCCTCAGAGGAGTCTGGCTGTGTGGAAAACTACCTTGTGCTGGTAGACCCGGGACAGACTAACTCCCCGATTTTGCAGGATAGTGGTTGGTCGAGGGCAAAACAGTTACAATAAATTGCTACTGTTGTAGGAGTATAGCAGTGGGGAAGGCAGAGGGGGTAATGCAGATGATACATAGTCCTTGTGTGGTCTAGTTTACTCAAGTCACCATAACCTTAGTGTTTTCTATGGTGAGTTTTTCAAGAAAGTCCATTGTGTGAAGTCCCATCACCATTCTGAGCAAAACTCTTTTACTAACTTAGGTGGAAAATAGGGCTGAAGGAAATGCTGCCTTAATTGTTAAGATTTACTAGACTGATGCCCTTCTTTGCTGATACTGAACTTTTCCTCTCCCTTTGCTTTTGCTCGTCTGCCAATTCTCTGTTAGACTTCAGCATATTACGTGGAGAAGATCTGCTGGCCATTTCAGAACGAGCTCCTACTGTCAGCTAAAGAGCAGGAAAGCACAGAAAGTCTTTTTGATTACTATTTGATAGATATTAATGTATGATTAATTTTTCTAGAATGAAGGGTGATTATGAAGGCAAGAGAGCATCTTATTTTCAAACACCTGGAGTTCCTATACCAGCTTCTTTGAGAAGGCTTTAAAAGTTAACTAAAACCTTTTTACGGGAAGTGTTTCCCAACACTGTTAATTATTGGATGCTGCCAAAGTATGTGTTTGTTACAGCCCTCCCCCCATTTCAGT